GATGGGGAGAGGCTGTAGATACAGATGAAGCGTCACTCTCATGCCTGACGCCCACCTCCTGCTGTGTGGCCCGGTTCCTAACAGGCCACGGACCAGTACCAGTTCTCAGCCTGTGGGTTGGGGACTGCAGCTCTCAGTGTGTATCAGGGGAGAGGCAGGGAGGGGCGATTTTGCCCCAGAGGACATTCCGCAATGTTTGGAGACTTGGTTGTCACACTGGGGGCGTGTTCTGGCATCTAGTGTGTGGAGGAGGCCAGGGATGCCATCAACATCCCACAATGCAGAGGACAGCCCCACACAGCCAAGACTGGCAGAGCTCAGAGTGTCGACAGCACCGAGGCTGCGAAAGCCTGCTCTGGGCCGGTGCCCCTCAAGCTGTCCGTCGTGAAGGACCAGTTTTGCTTTTCCCCAATCTGTTGCAGACCAGTGCTTTTGTAAGAATAGAAAGAAATTATCAGAAAAAAATCATCATGCATTTGAATGTGACAACCAATGCCGAATTGCTATAACAATTTAACACTCACTCTCAACTTCTGTACCGTTTGATCACGGAAGGGGGACATTAGTTCATAGACAGCATCCATCGGGGGCCACACCATGAGTCATACTGACCTACAGTATTCTGTCTCCTGGGTGGACCTGGGGGTGGGGAGGGGGTACCAGCTAAATCGCCACTAACCCCAGGTTATTGCGTGTTCCCTATTGTCCCCCAAACCCTAGCCACCTCTTTGCATCCCTTTATAAATGAGGTATTCAGTTATCCCCCTGTAAGTGTGCCTGCTGCCCCTGAAGGGCCTGGCTGATTCCGAGGTGTCTTCCTACCTGGGCAAGTTTTTAAGCACGTGGGAAAGTCAGCGGGCATGTGGGTGGGAGGACAAGAACGTGAGGGCAGACTGGTTTGGGCGCCCAGCTAAGGAGCTTGGACTCTCTCCTATAGATCACGGCTAGCTCTTGGGGCGTGTCTCAGCCGACGGGGGCACGGCCAGAGCCGTGTTTTAGGCGGAGTGCTCTGGAGATGGTGGTGTGACAGTGGGCTCTCAGGGAGCACAGGCTGAGGCAGAGAGCCCGCTTGGGGGCTGCTGTGTCCATGCGGACCAGAAAGGGAGCGGCCTGAGCAGAGGCGTGCGTGTGGAGTAGAAGGCGGAGCTCCACGCACACATGCAGCCTCCTAACCGGAGTGACAGGTTGGGAGCAGGAGCGAAGGGGCAACCCGGACTCCCCAGGTCCAGCTTAGGGGATAGTGGGTGGTTTGTTGGGGGCGTCATAGGGGAACGGGGGCACACACATGGAGGCACAACTCCCCGTTGCAGTCACTAGAGTTTGAATCCTGCCCATTTTGCATGCCTTTCTCATGCAGTTTGTCCACTGGGTGCCGGGAGCAGGGAGGGGTCTGGGTTTTGATTAAGAAGCGTGGGCTCCAGATCCCAGTGGATCCCATCTCCCCTCAGCCCTGCCATCCTCCCCCAAGGGAGAGTGCAAACCGTTTCACTTCCTCCTTCTCTAACTGGGAGTGATAATAACTTCCTCGGGGGGTTGTCAGGAAATTAAATAAGATGATGCATGTAAACTTCCCAGCACAAGGTAATCCCTCAGTGACTTGGTTATTATTGCTATTAGCAAGGCAAACCTGACCTTGCCAGCCGGGGCTGTCTTGAGTCAGCTGGCTCTGGCTCTCCTGAAGTTCCCCCAACTTCCCCTGCCCCGAGATACACATACACACACCATGGGGCAGAGGAGCCAGGAGCTGAGCTTCCTGCTCTTCATGTGACAAGCCTGGGAAGCGGGCTCGTTCTTGTTTCTGATGGGCTGGTCACAGTGGGAAGCTTTGCCACGCCTGATCCTTCCTCCGTGGTGCCAGCGGCCTGCCAGGGAGCAGCCTTGCCCCGCTACACCTGCATCGGCAGCACGGCCCAGCTGCGGCTTCATCGCGTTGCGATCTCCCCTGACTCGGGAAGCAGACAGGGGGCCCTACACAGCCACCCAGGAAGCACAGGAAGATGGGACAGTGTCTGAGATGCAGCATTGCCCAGTGGCCAGAAGCAGAGCCCTGGGCCAGACTGCCTGCTTTGGCTCCAGCTCTGCCACTTACTAGCTGGGCATCCTTGGGAAAGTAGCTAAACCTTTCTGTGCCTCGGTTTCTTATCTGGAAAGTGGCAATGACAGAATAGCAAATACCTTCTGACAATCATTGAGAGTATTAAATGAGATATCCCCCTTAGATGTCTCAAAGTAATGCCTGGCACAGAGTAAGCCCTCATATCAGCTACTCTTCATCTTTTGTTGTTACTAGCAGCAGTAATGGGAACAGTATTAGAGTCTGCTTCCCAGGAGAAAGTGGCGAGACGCTGAGACAACTTCTGGGCTTTTAGTGCATTTTCTGTGTCCTGACATTTTCTGTGTTAAATGGAGCAATGAATGCGGACGCCCATGCCACATAACAGGTGCTCAATAAACAAACATGCCCGTCGCCTCCTCAACTGCAGATGCTCTCACATTGCTCGTGCCCAGCAAGGCGGGGGAGCACAGTGACGTAGAGCAGACTGGAGCTGACTCCTGGGTCTCGATCCCTGCTCTGCCACGCTGCTTTGCTTAGCACCTCTGTTTCCCCATCTGTCAAAGGAGGATCACGTTGGTGGCTCCCTCAGAGAGTGGCTGTAGGACTACAGTGACATAGGGCACTTAAAACAGAGCCTGGGACAAGGCTACCAGATGATGTTTGCCCTGATTACTGTCACTGTTCCGGGTGTGCTTAGCTCTTGCTTTTCCAACTCACATCACTAGCCCCGAGGGAGAAGGAACCCAGCCTCGGGGAACTCACGTGTTCCCTGCGGCACTGGCCACACAGGGCTCCCGGGGCCCTGCCCAGAGGCTGTCCCAGTGGCCGGGATCCCGCTGGTGGGGGAGTGCGAGCCTCAGTGGGCTCTGAGCGCCGCTGCAGGGAAGACAGTGGTGGACCAGCCACAGGCCCAGGCAGACTTTCGACTGAAATGAGGACAAAAGCCCCCATATCTGTCACATGGTAGGGAATTAGCCCAGACTGTGGACCCAGAAGCTAGTGTTAAAAAGGTCCCAACTACCTCGTCCTAGCAGTCCCAGCTCTGTGACGAATCCCTTGGCCTCTCTGAGTGTCAGCCCAGCCTTCTCTGTGCAGTGGGCGAGCTGATGGCTGCCCTCACAGGACTGCCCTGGGGCCCAGGTACAAGTGTGGCTGTGAGGTCCCTGGACGGGCCTAAGGGCTGGCCGCAGGGTCCTTGCTGGGTCCGCCCCAAACACTGTGCTGGGGTGGGGTGGGGGTGGCGCTCAGTTTCCTCAAGTGCGGCTCCCCCAGCAGAGAGGGACGGGCGCTGAGCAGGGAGGCGGCGGCCCCAGAGCTGCCCATTGACAGGACGTCAATATCTGCCTGTCAGCCCCGATCCTTCCCGAGGTTCCCAGGTGGGAGTTTTCAGACGCTGGTATTTCATATTTGAGATCTCAATTAAGTTGCCTGGCTCCGGGTTGGAGGGGTTGATGGGAGCTCATGGGGCCCTTTCGCTGTCAGGCGGTAGGGAATGGGAGCGTGGGGACTTTCGGGAAGGGAGGAGCTCCCAGGAAAGCTACAGAACGGCACGCTCAGGCCCAGGTAAGTATTTCTGCAGGAGTGTTCATGGAGGCGACAAAGGCACCATGTCTGGAGGCAGCAGAAGGCACGATGGCTCCACAAGGGTCTTAGAGAGCAGGGTTTGCACCGGGCTCCCGGCAGGAGGGGCCCAGGCTGCAGGGGGCAGGCCCCAGCGTGGGAGAATGCTGCCCTCAGACGCTCCCCTAGGGCGGAGGGGGCGGTCAACGTACCCCTGACTAGAGACCCCCGCCCCGGGCTCTTGGATGGGCCCGGGTACTATGGCTGCAAGGAGGATCGTCCCTCCCTTCTGAGATGCAGAATCGCCCTGCGGCCTCCAACACCACCCTGTCCCTCCCCCTCTGAGCAGCGTGCCTCCTCTCCGGCCTCCCGTCCCCTTCCGCTTAGACCCCCCCGCCGCAGGCTGCAGCAGCAAACGTTCTCCCTCCTGAGTCACAAGAAAGTCTTGGAGATGAGGGTGGTGGCGGCTCCTCCTGGCAGGACCTTGTCTCTGACTCAGCACAGCACCTGGCCCAGAGAGAAGGCTCGGGACGTGCCTTCTCCATCAGGACTACACACTCAACACCCCGAACACTTGAGTGAGGTCCTGATGGACCTCAGAGGACAGGGCAGGGCTGGACCGGCCCGAGGGGCGGGCTGGAGAGGGGCCAGGCTGACTGGACTCTCACCCTGCGCTCCCCAGAGGCCGAGGGATATTTGCGGCAGATATGGGGGAAGGAGGGAGGTGGCGTGTCCTTGTGTATAATCTCTGCTTCTTCACACCTTTAACCTCTCTGCCTCTTGCTGTCTCTCCCCTGCCCTCCTGTGTGTGCTTCCTCACCTCTGCTTGAGTCTCCTCCCTTCTTCTCTTCACCTCCACCGCTCAACGCCTCTTGCCTCTGCCTCGCACTGTCCCTTTCCCTCGCCCTTCCTCGTCACCCTCATTGCCTGTTTGTGTCTGTTCCTTTTGGGGCATCTTCCTCAACCTGATCTCTGATGTTTCTTTCTCTGTCCACACCTCTCTGACACTCCATCCCTGAATCATTCTCTCTCTCTCTCTCTCTCTCTCTCTCTCTCTCTCTCCTTTTCACCCCAACCTAACTCTCCGTTTCCTGACCCGGGGCTCTACTAACATCTCCTTCTTCTTGGCTGTTCCCTGTGCCCTATTCCTGTCACCTGCTGCCCCTACCTGCCTCCTCCCCCTCCTCTCTGTCTCTCACCTTTTCTGTCTCTTCACCCCTCTGTGGCTCTTCCTTGTGCTGGGCCCCTGTGTCTCTCTGTTCCTGTGTCTGCTTGTCGCTGTCTCTCCCCTCCCCCTCTCTGTCACTCTGTCCCTTTCTGCCTCCATTCCCTCCCATCACCCTGCCCTTCCCCTTCCCGTCACGCTGTGTCCGCCCCTCCCCAGGATGATCCCAGCCTCCAACAAGGCCTTCGTGGTCAACAACCTGGTGTCGGGGACTGGCTACGACTTATGCGTGCTGGCCATGTGGGACGACACGGCCACGACGCTCACCGCCACCAACATCGTGGGCTGCGCGCAGTTCTTCACCAAGGCCGACTACCCACAGTGCCAGTCGATGCACAGCCAGATCCTGGGCGGCACCATGATCCTGGTCATCGGGGGCATCATCGTGGCCACGCTGCTGGTCTTCATCGTCATCCTCATGGTGCGCTACAAGGTGTGCAACCACGAGGCGCCGGGCAAGATGGCCGCGGCGGTGAGCAACGTGTACTCGCAGACCAACGGGGCCGCGCCGCCCCCGGGGCCCGGCACGCCCGCCGCGCCCGGCCCGCCCAAGGTGCTGGTGCGCCGCGAGCGCGCGGACGTGGGCCTGGCGCGCGGCAGCGACTCGTCCTCCTCCAGCTCGCTGGGCAGCGGGGAGGCGGCGGGGCTGGGGCGGGGCCCCTGGAGGCTCCCACCGCCCGCGCCGCGCCCCAAGCCCAACCTGGACCGCCTGATGGGGGCCTTTGCCTCCCTGGACCTCAAGAGTCAGAGAAAGGAGGAGCTGCTGGACTCCAGGACTCCAGCCGGGAGGGGCTCTGGGACCTCGGCCAGGGGCCACCACTCGGACCGAGAGCCGCTGCTGGGGCCCCCCGCCGCGCGGGCCAAGAGCCTGCTCCCCCTGCCCCTGGAGGGCAAGACCAAACGCAGCCACTCCTTCGACATGGGGGACTTCGCGGCCGCCGCAGCGGGGGGCGTCGCCCCCGGTGGCTACAGTCCCCCTCGGAGGGTCTCGAACATCTGGACGAAGCGCAGCCTCTCTGTCAACGGCATGCTCTTGCCCTTTGAGGAGAGTGACCTGGTGGGGGCCCGGGGGACTTTCGGCAGCTCGGAGTGGGTGATGGAGAGCACGGTGTAGGCGCGTCCGCGTCCTCCCGGCCCTGCCTGCGTGCGGGGTGGGAGAGGAAGGGGAGGAATCTTTACTGGCAAGTCTTTGTGGAGTTTCCATGGTGATGTTTACATCCAGGGACAGTTTTGTCTCCCTGTCAGCGGCCTCTTGTTCCCCGCCCCCCAACTCCCACGTCACCTCCCCACCACCCAGCCGGGTTGTGCTCAGGGAACGCGGACTCGCTCAATGTCGGACTGAGCCCTGAGTGTTTGGAAAGGCCAGACCCGCCTTTCTAACCACAAATGTAGCCTACAAGCAAGCGGCTTTGGATTGCTTATGGGTCCAGTGTTGTTTTTATTTCTTAATTTATACTTTCCATTTCCCAGACTCCTCCTCTTCATTCACATGGATAGGCGAGTTTCCTGTACACACGAAGGGTGTCCCGGCAGCCCTGGCTGTGGGTGACGGTTGCCAGTTGGCAATAGAAGGGAAGGATTCGGGTTCCACACCTGTCGGGGGGAAGTCTGTGCAGTCCCCTACCTGGAGCCCTCATTATTGCCCCCCCCCAGCCCACACCCCACACTGGGAGGGCTGAGTGGCCCCGGGTACACCACCCGGTTTCCTTCCCTCCTCAAACATGAGGCTCACAGCCATCACAGCAGCTTAGACCAGAAGGGTAACTTCAGGATTCTTACGTGTGGGGAGGGAGACGGGCTTCATGGTGTAGGGTGGGGGAGGGGGGGACCCTAACTTCTGGAGTGGCCGCTTTTTAGGAATCTGGGGCAGAAAGGCCCCATCAGCGTGTGCTGGGCCACAGGGGTCTCTCTTAAGGAAGCAGTGTGGGGTGGCTGAAGGCGCAGTGGACAGTGTCCAGAGCCACAGGAGTTGACTGAATAACGTGGGCCAGACCCTTTTCTCTCTTGGGACCTCAGTTTCCTAATATGTAAAATATTTGGGATTCTATTAGAAAGTCTCCAGTTTTCCCTTCCAGTTCTAAAGATCAATGGACCTCTCATGACTCTGGGTGTTACTGTTTCCGGTACAGTGGTGCCAGGAGTGCAAGCTGGTAGAGCAGTCCCTATCCCTACAGGACACACAGAGAGAATTCTAGAAGCCTTGGAGAGGGAACGCTGAATCTTTTTAGAATGGCAGCGTTCTGAAGCTTGGGAGGTGTTTGTAATCACCCTTTTCTTAACCCTCCCTCCCCGTCTCCCAGATTATAGGAACTTGCCCGAGGTCACACAGCGAGTTAGTGACCAGTAAGGGCAGAGGCCAAGGCCGCCTACCTCATGGGGATGCTATTTGGGATCTGCAACTCTGTCCTCACCCTGACCAGGGCAGTTCCGAGTCCGAAGTCTGTCCCACGTTTGTTCCCGAAGAAGGCGGCTCGGGGCGGGACATAGGGGAAGCATCCTCGTGGTTTCCTGAGGAGGACCCATCCTTAGCAATTGCAGGGTGAGAAGGGGAGGGCCGGGGGCTCGTTTCCATCTAGGGGTCCACCCCACACTCTAGTCAGTGACATTCGTCCCCACACGCCAGACGAGAGAAGGGGCAGAGGAGGGGTGCCCAGGGCGAAACTGCTTTAGGCAAACTGGACTGACTTTCCCCTGCATCTCTGTCCCTCCTGATCTGTTTCCTTCTGGGTCTCTCCTCATCGGCAACGCACTACCTCTCCCTCCGTCTTCCCAACTCATTCTTTCCTTTCCCAGGCCTCCTCCATAGACCTCTGTCCCCTCTCTTGTTCTTCTCCCTCCATTCTCCACTTGCCAGCCACACAGCCCACGCAGCGTACAGGTGAGGCCATTTGGGACTTTAAAGTTCTGATGGGCTTGGCCCCGGAGCTGAGCTGCTGGCCCCCACCCCAAACTAGGAACATACAAGGAGGAGGTCAGGAACGGCCTATGCAGGATGGACCACTGGCTCCAGCCCAGGAGCCTCCGAATCCTGTGCCTTCCTCTTTCCTCACCATCCTCCTTCTCTTTCTGGTCCTCTTCTCTCTCCTCACCACCTTTCCACTCTCCTGTCTTCATTCTTCGTTTTCTTCCTGTCACGCTTTGCCTTCCCCAGCCCTTTTCTGGTCCTGACAAGGTCATTTAGGGATCCATGACCCTGTCTTCTCCCTGACTAGGGAAGTTTTGTGTCCAGAGTCTGTCTGTCCCATGTGCATTCCTAAAGAAGCTGGCTCAAGGTGGGACATGGGGGATGCCTTCTTGTATCATACAAGGCTAATCCTTCCCAAGATTCCAAGTTAATTTTCCAGGCCAGTCCCAAATCCAGAGCACATCCCTTCCACGGTCACAGTGGCACCCACAGAATCTAGTGACTTGAAGGGAAATCTCTCCCACCCTTCCTCTTGTCCCTTCCCTTTTTTCCTCCTCTTTTTTCTCTCTGCATCTTTCCCATTCATCCTTTCCAAATGTAGCCATTGTGGAAATGGTCTCAAATACCACTTTCTTTTTGCCTTCGGACTCGGACACGCAGAGGGAAGGTGCTGGACGGCAGGAGAGGGAACCACCTCACTGTCCGTTCTCATCAGCAGCCCTGAGCGCTGTCGGGACACAATGTGTACTTGCTCTTGTTTGTCATGGTTTTGACTTGGAGTTCTGGAAAGCAGCGTCCCCTGTGGTCAGAATATAAATGCCAATCTTCTCCTTTGCTTTTAAAAAATGTACAGTATGTACAGTTTTAAAAACAACTACCAACCACACTTCTTGGGAGGGAGAAAAAAAAAAAGAACATTCTCATGTCTGTGAATGTCTGCTGTTCATTTCTCTGGAAACGCTGGGGTTTTCTAAAGGTGGCTCTGAAGTGGCCTTTTCTCTTGCACCTGTGTTTGTTACCACCTGGTGGGAGCCTGCCTCCTGCCAAGTTCATGTAGAAGGTGGGGGATCTTCTGAAATGTGAGGATGAGACCATCCTACCAGAGTAAAGGAAGGTAGAGGAATCTGGAATGAAGCCCCAGGATGAGAAGGGACTAGCCCACCCCAGCAGCCCTGACTGTCCCATCTGACATCTCCCTCCTCTGAGACACCAGCCATACCTACTTTTCCTGGCCTCAGGCCACCACCGTGCCTGGCCACTGGGGGTGCACAGATATCCTCCACCCATTATGGTTGAGTCCTGGATGGCATTTTTTTCCCCTCAAAAGGGTCTTTTAATGGGAAACCACAGGAGAACAAACCAAAACCCAGCCCAAGGTATAGACACAAATGAGCTTCGGGAACTTGATTTCCCAGTCCTGTCTTTATCTAATGTCTAGATCAGCACTGTCCGACAGGAATAAAATGTGAGCCACACTGTAATTTTCAATTTTCTAATGGCCACGTTAAATCAAGCATAAAGAAACAGGTGAAAATAATTTGAATCATATATTTGATTTAACCTAAATGTATCCAAAATATTATTTTAACATGCAATCGGTCTAGAGTTATTAATAGGGCTTTTTACAATCTTTTTGTGGCACAAAGTTTTAGAACCCTGTTATGTATATCGCACGTATGAGACATCTCAATTCAAATTAGCCACCTTTAAAGTTCTTGAGAGCCACACGTGGCTAACACTGGCCACTGTAATGGACAGCGTGGCTCTAGACATACAACAATTGACTTGAAAACACACTTTTAAAATGGGAAGGGAGCTAACACTTCCTGAGTTCCTGTAGCTTCCAGGTACAGTGCTTGGTGCTTCACATACATTTCTCACTGAACCCTCACTGCAGCCTTTTAAAGTAGATATGATTATGTCCACCTTACAAATGAAGGGACTGAACCTCAGAGGGGTTAAGTAACTTGCCCGAGGTCACACAGTGAATCTGACTGCAAAGCCTTAGTTACTTCCAGACACCGCACTGCCTCCCCTCCCCTATCCTTCCTTCCTTCTTTCAACTTGTTACAGATTGCATTTTACATTGACTGAGCTACTCAAACTTGTACCCTAATCTAGAAGCCCTTAACTTGGCCTCAGGTCTGGTAGAATGCTCCGAGTGCTGACTCTGGGCAAGAGCACCTTGGGTAAGCGGTCCCTTCTGACCTCACACTGGCCTTTCTGGCCCTTTCTGGCCCTTCCTGGCTTATGACACATTCCCTTCTCTGGCCAGGAAGAGGATTCAGACTGCCCTTCCCGGACCACCCTGTGGTTATCTCTTCTCCCCTTTTGGTGGCCCTAAGAGGAGTTTCGTTCAATGAGACAAAAAGCCTCACACCAGCTTAATCCAATGTCCAAACCCATCTTCTCACCTCTTCCTATTCTAAAACCCTTGCCAACCCAAACCCTCTTTCCTGATACAGGGAAGCCTCAGCTCCTCAATTTTTGGAGGAGGTGAGATGGCTCATGATGTAACATGAGCCCAGTTGATTACTAAGCTTCCTGGCAAACAGTTCAACCCCCTTCCCCATATTCTTGATAATGACATATCCCTCAGGTTCCTCTCAAAGGAAATGTTTATTATTTTATTCTTCCATGATTACAGTGTTGAATTTCCAAAAGATCTTAGGCACACTTTTGTTAAGGGATAAAATTTTCAACCAGGTAAGAGGAAGGTCACTGTCTCAGATTTCCCCCTTCCAAAATGGAAAGTAACTTTTTCTTCCAAAGTTTGTGGGTATGGATTTTTCATAAGTACAGCCTGAGTTCTGTGTCCTCTGTTCTCAGTATGTCTGCAGTGAAGGTCTCGGAGCTTTTAGCAAGCTGGGTGGCGCTTCCTCTGTTCTTGCAGGCATAGAGATTTCTGCAAACTGCTGCTGAAAAAATAGACACACTTACTCAAAAGAAAAGACTGTTGGCAGACAGCCGTCAAAACCTGAACACGCAGTTTTAAATATCACACCTAGATTCTCAAACCCAGCTATTCCATGTGATTCAGCTGGCAGCGAGAAAAGTTTGTATGACAAGAAGGCTTCTCACAGTGGATACCTGAGGCTTCCACCTTTGCATCATAGAATCAGCCCCCTTCAGGTTACCCCCTCAGTATCTAAAAGGAGCATTGCCCCTTCGCCGTTTAAAAATATCTATTTGTGCTTTCAGACTTTAAACCAAAGATCTCAGTTTTCAGCTTCCATCATCTGAATTCAGGTTCTCCACCTCACAGCCAGTCAGTGTTTACAACAAGACTCATGGGTTTCCCTTCCCTGAAGCTTCTAGCAGAGGGAAATTGGCATGCTTCCCCCAGACCAAAGGGAGGAGCTGGCCTCGACCTCTGAGTCCATCCTGTGATCCCCATCAGAGGCGTCTCAGATCTTCTCACAGGTCCAGTGAGCTTTGCCCGAATCCTCCTTTCACATAATGCCTGCAATCTTCCTTCTGCTCACCGACTGTGGGGAAGTGGGCCCAGATTGCA